TTTTAAGTGGATACTGTTGGGATTTCACAAGAGAAAAATTCATCAAATTATTCACTAACATAATTTTCTAAAGGTTATATGACGATTTTTCGGAATAAACGGATTTTAATACCTACTTATTTATATATAATATCAAATATAGAATTCTTACAGTAAATGTATTTAAGGTTATAAACATATGCTGTATACATCCATGAAATATTTTTACATTTTATTTCTTCTTTCACACAAGTACCATGAAATAGTTGTTTAAACAACGTTATTGCCTTGATTAGGTGGATATTAATTTTTTTTTTCAAACCTAAAAAATCTTTTAAAGTTTATATTTAGTTAGTAAATTTCATTTAATTTCACATATTTTTATTTGGTTTATATTTATTCCACAAATAATGGGTAAAGATTCTGTTATATCACTGATTTAAGGATAAGTGTTAAGAAATCTGACAAGGGTGCTACGAAATATTTTCTGTCAGACAAGTATAAAAATGGTTAGTTCTATAAGGGTGCCTCAAAAATATTAAGTACGATAAGTGTTTCACGGCAAAATCTCTGAGAACAATAGATATCAGTTACTTAGATTTCCTTTTCCTTATTTCACAATTTCTTTTAGCAGTGCCTTATCATATTAACATAAAAAAATAAACTACATTGGAATACTTTGTTTTGTGATTGGTTTCAAGATATTTATTGTCCACTTGACAAAAATCAATATGCTTAGCTTTTATGAAGATCGTTATAACTCAAAAATTCAAATGTTTTCAACATTTGCGTCATCATAATCAATTTATTGATAATGATTATGTAAAAGAGAAAATCATTAATTTTAGTTTTGTTGACTTTCTTCTGAAATAGCGATATACGAGCATATCGATGGTAGGCGTAGCCTCACAGTGGGACTGATCGTCGATCTAGGAGGACAAAAAAAGCTTGCAAAATATGAGATGTAATATAACATCGTTTTTATAGAAATTTGGTGACCTGAAAAATGATCTAATTTCAAAGTTCGTTTAAACTCCTATAGTAGGGTACAGGAGAGGGAAGCTTAAGCGAGCTTGACTTCAGTCCCACCATTTAACAATTAGATCCCAAGGATGCCCAGATTGCACGGGCGGATCTACGGGAGGAAGGAGGCTTTCAGGCTGAAGTTCCCCAAAATGGTAAAATATAACCATGTTTTATGAAAAAAATTATCTTTAAAAGTATTATTGTTCTTCTAATTACAGTTAATAGAACTTCAAAAATCACTTAAAGGCCATTTCATATAGATAGTTAGTTTCTTTCTTTCTTCTGAAGTTATTATCTTAATATTTGTACAAAAAAAAATCTTTCGGGCTAAAGCCTCCCTCCCCCAAAATTAAATCCTGGATCCGTTAGTGCCAGATTGTGCCATTTAAATTTTTGAGGAGGCACATTTTAACGGGATTTTTCATTTTTGAGGGGAGGAGGCACATTTCGACGGGGTTATGAAATTTCTGATTGAAAAATTTCAAAGCAGGAAACAAAGGAAATATAGAACAAACTTCAGCATGTGTAATTGTATATGACTTACAGTAATTTTATTTCTAAAGTTTTTAAGAAAAGGAGAGCAATATAACATCAGAATGGGAGGATCATGCTCCATCGACCTTGGGGGTTCAAGCAGTTCATTCAGTTTGTTGCAGATCCCGGTACCTCACTTCCCAAGGGAAATTCTTTAACCAGATATCAAAGCTAGCCATGGGAAATTCTTTAGCACTGGATATTTCCAATATTGTTCTAGACTTCGTTATCCCTTCTTTCCATCAAGACATCATTTTCTTTAAAAAATACGTCGATGACCTCCTCCTTGTTCTTGTCCCTGACAGCGTACCTTAAATTCTTTCCTCATTCAATTGTTACAACCCCCGTCTTTGTTTCACTGTAGAGAAAGAGGTTAACAATTCACTTCCCTTCTTAGACCTCCTAATAATAAAAAATACTGACGGCTATATTTCCATTTTAATAAGTTTATTCACATTGTTTATTATTTTTTGTCTAAATATTATGTAACTTTCACAATTCTCTATATCTTTTTGTATCTTGTCCGTTCTAGCCCTGAAGAAGACCTGCAAAGTCGAATCGAAAAGTTGGCTTTTAATAAAATAGTTTTGTCAATATTTAGTCTACTTTTGACCACCACCACGGATCATCTTCTTCCTTAATAATACAATGGTCAACTATTAAGTATTCACTTCTCATCACGAAATATATACACAACACTTACTTAAATAATCTATGAAATACCCTTCTCGGTATCACGCTGCTAAATTTTGTTTTATATTTTTTAGTTATTTATGTTCTTTCAAAAAATAATCATCAAATTTTGCGCTGCTTTGCACAAAGCACTGCTTTTTAATTATATCAGGAAACGTAAATAAAATTTCTGGAATATTTTTTTTATATTCTTATGAAAACGTTATATATTATATAATAAAACTTATACAGCTTTGAGAAACAATGTAGCCAGCCCTATTTACATACAAAATAAATGAGCGTTAAAAAAATTCTCAGAAAATTATTTTTATTTTATTTTAAACGTACAATTACTTACTAAAACCTATTTGGACTTACGTATCACAGATATTTAGAATTGCTAAAAAGACACACTTAAACAAACTTCAAATCTTTCAAGCAAAAACATTCAGAACAATTACAAAAGCACCTTGGTGCGTTAGCAACATAACTTTACACACTGAGCTCCATATGCCAACTGTTAACGAACACATACGAACTCATTACAAACGATTCCATGACAACTTACAAGGACATCCTAATACACTTATAAATGACATGGCCACTAGGAATATGCCAGGTAACGTCTGTAGGAGACTGAAGAGGAGCTGTAGACATCACGCCGAGTGAGGTGCCGCTGGGCACTGATCCTCCTCATGCCTTTCATCACATTATATTTTGCAATCGACCTCACATTCACTGGTTGTCATTACCATTATGACAGGTGTGAATAAAAAAATTAAAGCTAAAAAAAAAATTTCATTTTAAATATTTCGCAGGTGAAGTATATTTTCTATACCTGATAACAACCATCAGTCTTCTCGAGGAAACAAGGAGACCGAATAACGTTTTTCTGATTGCTTCGAAAAACTAATGAGCTGAAATTATAGGATATTATATAGTAAGCATATCTAGAGGGAACCTAGGCGCCTACATGGCGCAAGTTGCACCAACAAAATTTTGAGGGAGCACATTTTTACAGGGTTATGGATTTTTGAAGATATCAAATATTTACACTGTAGACAAGGAAAGAAAAAATTCCAATTTCAGGTTCGTTGAAACTCGGATTACCTACCTAGTGGTAAAGACCCTTTTTATAAATTTATTAACATCCGGCTGCAACTTCGTAAATAGTTTCATCTCATCGTAAGCTACACATATTTTATTTACGAAAATTCTCGGAATTGGGGCGTTTTCAATATAGAGGTCGGCAAACACTGTCTAATTAATTAGGTACTAAAAACTCGTGAATAGCCTTCTGCTTTCCCCTTTAATTGTAAGATAAGTTCAGTAAAAAATCGAGAAGAAAGGTGGCTTTCAAGTATTGAGCCTTTTGGCATGACCTACACCCCCAAATTTTCAAAATAACGAGGTTATATTGGCCAAACGGCTCAATATTTTTGAAGGCGACCATTTTTATGGACTTTTGTTCAAGATATCTTACGATTAAAGTGGAAAGCAAATGGGTATTTATGAGTTTTTATTACCTAATTAAATAGACAAAGTTTGCCGTCCTCTAGATTGAAAACGCCCCAATACCGAGAATTTTCGTAAATAAAATATTCGTAGGTTACGATGAGATGAAATTATTTACAAAGTTTCAACCGGATGTTAATAATTCGATAAATAGGAGTCTGTACCACGGACTATAATGTTGTTTACATGATTAACCGTCTTACATATTTTAGCAAAATTGGAAAAAATGATAAGTGGATAAATTTAAACAATACAGAAAGTTGATAATTGACTAAAAGAGAAAAAGGACAAACTGATATTTAATCTAATAAGGCGAATGTTGGAAGATATAAAGAGTCCAAGAAGCAGCGCTGCTTCGGTTTCCAATATTCTCAAGTAAGAATTCTCAATAATTTTAAATAATATTAATATTAATTAATCAGTAATAACGAATGCGAACGAACGAGGAGCTGAAGGAGCTATATCGAGATGCTGATGTGAGGGTAATAAAGATTGGCAGATTAAGATCGTTAGACATGTTCGTCGGATACTTGGAGAACCTTTATTGAGAAAATTATTAGAAGAGCTAATTGACACAAGCTTTCCTAAGAGGGCCGGCACACCAAAACCTAGGTGGGCTGATGGAGTGAAAGCAGACGTCCGAGCTATCCTTGGTATCCAAGATTGGAACGCGACTGCATTTCTCTGAGATGACTGGTAGATGAAGTTGCAGGAGGCCCTGACACTACATTAGTTGTAATACCATGGAAGAAGAGGAAGATAAAGTCGTAGAATGCAATGAAGGGATATATGAATGGACAATATTATCTAACGGAAGTGTTTCCATGGAAACTAAATGAAATTTCTAAGTAGAAACTGTTAAAATTATTTTAAAGCTTGACTACCAAAACTACATAATGCATCGCATTGTCATTATTGAACTAATCCAGCAAGTGCGCTTAAATAGATGTAAATACAGATTCCTTCCATTGGAATGAGTAGAGTTATTTCTGTAGTTGCTTGTTTTTAAGTTAAATTATTTTTAAGTCCAATTTCTGTTCTATTTTAAAATAATTTTACAATCTTTAACGATATCAACATACCCAAATACACATTGCTGTTTCAAGAAGAAGCACCTATGGTTGAGATATTTTAAATCCTAAGAAATATATATAAAGTTGAACAAGGTGTCCGAATTACAATAATGATTGACACCGATGAGCCGACAGATATCTCTTATCACTCGGTGAGCTCTTATAAAAGGACATGGTGTGTATTCAGTCAGAGATTCCAACATGCGAGCTCCACGAAGAGGTATGTTATATATTTATTGAATTAATATTATATATATATATATATATATATATATATATATATATATATATATATATTTGTTTTATTCATTGATATTTACAACTGTATTATAAAAAAATACAACTAGTAAATGTGCACACAGTAATAATACAATCACATGAAAACGCTTGGTGAGAAACTACCCATTGGTAGCACTCTAATAATATATTCACATAAGTAGATCACGAGACCATCTTCTTTTCAGACGCCTCGGAGGGATATAATTTTAAATTTACTTTTACCATTATGAGATGATTCAAGGAAAACTTTTAAATGTTTACTTAGATTTTACAAAATGTTTGTGTATGTATGATATTGACTAGTTAAGTTGACTAGTTATTAATAATTAATATTGATATTGAGGTTGTAATATTGAAAAGAAATTAAGAGGTATACATGATTCTTTGACAAATTTTGCTATAAATACTATGAATGATTACAAGATCTCAAATATTAATTAAAATATGATTTGTTACAGTTTTCACAGGAGTGGGAGTGTTAGTGTTGGTTTTGTTTGTAGAAGCAACACCATTATTCAAGGAGAAGATATACAGTCCATCCTATGCTGAGGTGTTTGCATCTAGGTCCTCTGCTGATGTTACACTATTCTCGGGGGCACAGAGAGGTACTTACACTAACTTCACTCGCCATATATGTAAATACATGGAAATAATTAAACAAATCTAGTAACCAGTCAATATAAAAGTATAATTTATTGCTGGCATAAAGTAATTGGAAATTGCTTGTTCTATGAATTCAGTTCTAATTCTGAGGCACTAGCGGATCCAGGATTTAATTTTTTGGGGGGAGGGCTTCAGCCCGAAAGCTTTTTTTTTTAAAAATGACAATAATTACTTTGGAAAAAAAGAAAGAAACTAACTATCTATATGAAATGGTGTTTAAGTGATTCCTTAAAACCTTTTAAATGTTATAACACGAACAATAATACTTTTTTAATATATTTTTCCATAAAACATGGTTATATTTTACCACTTTGGGGAGGGCTTCAGCCCGAAAGCCTCCCTCGTAGATCCGCCCGTGTTCTGAGGCATCCAACAATGATCCCTTGTTTCAGTCACCCTTTTTGATTATGCTTACTTCATCATTTCACACTTTGTAACGGTTATTATTATTTATCTCTTAGTTCTTACTATTGTCATTATTCTACCAATTTCATTTTACTTTATTTTTTTTATTTTTCTTTATTTTTTTATATATTTTTTTGTCATCACTACTTATGTTTCTCATACCTTGTTATCTGGTTATTTTCTTAGCCCTGATGAAGGCCTGAACTTCAGGTCGAAACGTCGGCATATGTAAAAATAAATATTATCATTTATTTTTGCCTTCTTTTTTGACTGACCACCCCAACTATTCTTCTCTTCATTATCCACGACAGTCAATCATTTACCAATTATAAATATCCCTTCATATTAGAAAAAAAAAAATTTTCGGGCTGAAGTCCCACCCAAAACTAAATCCTGGATCGGGTAATGCATGGATGTTTACTCATCAATTTAGTACTGATGTTTATGATATGACAATGATAATAAGAAGAAGGTGAATAGAACTTATTATAATTTAATAGGACTAGCATTACCTTCCATATGAAAAGGTGACATTTAAAATAGTTGTAGCTGTGGGCCATGTTTTGTCTGACCACTTATCTAGCGACATCACTTTTAGAAATCTGCTATTGGATATAAGTGCCGTGACAGTAGCTTTAAAATTAAGTTTAATGCAGCAACGTAGAGAAGAAAACAGCACTAAAAAAATCCCAGTCAAAAAGATCGAGTCTCTGCGTTTCAATTTAAGTGGTGTCTATCTACCTTCCACAACTGTATAAGCAGTTTTTCAGTATAGTTGTAGCGAGATCCCTAAAATAATAGTTAGTTGAGTTCTAATTTGAGGTAAGTGAGCCCAGAAAGCTCTTCTTGAAGTTTGCCTGAAGTTGCCTTATTAAGATTACAATTTTATGTGATTGTATGCGTTTTGAGTATGAGATTTTATTTTACGCATTTTGTGAAGTCGTCAAGTATAATTGTAATTGTGTAAACTCCATGACCTCTGGTAATGATTGTATTAAAAAATAATAATAATTTAAATTATATAGTATTAAAGAAACTAATTGTTAGAGTTAGTTCTTGTTATTTTCAATCAAAACCGCATGAAAATTGTAAAACGTGGCACCCGAACAGAACCAAAATAAAAACGTATTATATTATATATACATTTATAGTTACATGAAAAAAAAATAATATATTATATAATGTGGAATAGAGAAGTTGAGTTTTATTTTTATCTACTTATTATTTTCAGAACTGAAGCACACCTTTAACCTCAGTTTCGATGGGAAGGTCGGCAATCTAAAGCATTGTGCAGGAAATGACGATGATGTCTGCGTTCGTTGGTCAAAGTCGGCTCAGTTACTTGTTACTAAGGGCCCTAAAAATGAAATGTGGACGGTGACCATTGAAGCCACACAACCACTACATGTCTGCTTCCCACTTGAAGGCCACCAACTCTACGGAGGAATGGTTTTAGAGGAATATCCAATCCAGCGAGTCAATCTCACACAGGTTTCATTTTATACCGGAGATATAACCAGAATAGTAAGCAATTAATCTTTCTTATATATAAAATTAAGAATAAAATTATAGAAAATGCATTTCAATATTTTCGTCCTTTAGGGCCGACTCCAGAATGTTATGGAAAGATTCTGGTATAGCTCAGGTGGTTTGAATATTAGGGTGAATCCAGATGTACCTCTATTTCTTAGCCAGGATGAAACGCAACTGTGCCTCACAGCGAAAAATGAATTCCCCTATCCCAAGGACATTCCCATCAAGATGAGGTAAATCAATTAATTTTTTTTTTAGTAGATTAACCAATCTTCTAAAATTTTGTAATCTTAGTTTTCTATAGAAACACACATTTTAAGATTCCCTTAGTTCAAATAACCAAAGCTTCATATTAAGTTTGACAAAAAATGTATTTATAATCCACCGAATCAAGATAATGAGCATTGAAGAATGAATTGACTAAATTGCTCAAAAATAAAATAATTGAAATAGGTATAAAAATAATGTATGATATATCTACAAAGGTATAACAATATTAGGTAAACATTTGGGCTTTATTTCGATTTCGAAAAAGGCTTTACGGTTCCATTGACCGCAAGAAGCTGTAAGGAATGCATGACGGAAATACTCAATAAAGTAAGAATCGGTAATTATTTATCCGACAAGTATGAGATTCTTTTGGGTTTAAAACAAGATGATCCTCTTTCACCTATCCTTTTTATTTAGCATTATAACATGCCATAAAGGATGTGATACGTACTGAGAAAGATTTGAATCTGGGTGGAAAAATATTTATGCTTTTGTATGCTGTTGAACCTTCGTCAATACGGAGACAATAAAACTAATTATAACAATGTCGATTAAAGCCAGCAAAGAATGGGTGCTCGAAATAAATATGTACTAGCCAAATCTATGGATATCTGAAAAACTGTTACAATTTCGATGATATAGATATAGAAGTTAATACATTTTGAACACGTAGATTAGATGTATAGAGTCTAAAATAACTAGAAAATAAAATAAACTATCTATATGAAATGGTGTATAAGTGATTCTTTAAGTCCTATTAATAACTCAATTACTCAAAGAAAGATACTTATAGAAGTTTTTTTTAGAAGACATCGTTATATTTAGGAGCTGTATATGTATTATAATTTTAAAAATATATACACAAACCAATTTGCGTAATATATAGAATAAAACTGAAAACGAAACTAGGTGTCTGCATGATTTCTGTTGCAAAACTACTGAGCTCACGCCTCCTTTCATGAAACTTAAAATTAGAATTTACAAAACTATTATTCTAACTATGATTCTTTATAAATGTGAAACGTGGCTGCATAAATTTAGAGATGAGCAACGTCTGGAGTATAAAGTAAAGTGTTCTGACCATCCGAGTCAATCGGAAAATGTAAATGGATACACAACGGCGAATCGTGTGAACTATATCCGGTATATATGATTAGAGGGGAATAAATGGAATGTAAAATTATTGGGTTTAGTTACGAAAGAATTACTAAAAGGTTAATATTGGCTGTGCCGACTGGTAAGCATGCAAAGAGTAAACCCAAGGGAAGGAGCGATAATTGCTTTAGTACTTACTTGTCGGAGTAGTGTTTGAACGGGGTCCGGTGGATGGAAAAATGTAGGTATCGATTGGTAGTAATCAAAGTGTGCTCCCTTCAAAAATTTTGATGGCTCAACTTGCGTCATGAAATTATCTTGTAAGCACCTCTGCCTCTTCAGTTATTCAATATTTTTTCTCCTTTTTAACAAAGTTATATTTTTTATTTAATATCTGAGAACGATTCACGATTTTTTTTTATGATTTCATATTCTTGATATAAGTTACTCATAAAAGTTTTAATTTAATGTACTTGTGTAATTGAGAAGGTTTGGTGTAAAATGAGATATAATCTTCTTCTAAGATCTTTAACTTTTATTTTTAATTTACGTAAATGTATGAATTCTGTAGATTACTCTATCTCAATCTCTAGGGTGGAGTTACCGAGCAGACTTACATGTCTTGTAATACATGCGAAATTCGAAGTTCTAATCCCCGTTCCGAAGGGACTTTTAACTCTGGCACTAATCCCACGCCACCTCACCTAGCCTGAGAAAAAATCAGTATTGCCGAAAAGGCGAGAAAAGTAAAATAAAAACATTATCAAAGGATCAAAACCAGTACCATTAGAGATTTATTAAACTAAATGTGAAAATTTTAACAAAAAGTTATGTTAAGATACTTAAAAGTTTTATTTATTTCAAAAGTTGCAATTGTTTTTGTGCTCCTCAGTATTATATGCTCTATATTTTATTGTGTATGTTTCAGTTATGTCACTTGCGGTAATACTGGAAATATAAGAGAGGCCTTAAAATGCTTCTTTCCGATGTACGACAAGCCTATACCCCCAACGAAAATAATTGCAGACCCCATTTGGTCTACTTGGGTTGAGTTTGAGAGGCCTATTGATCAACAAAAATTAATACAATTTGAAAAAGATATAACGAGCCATGGATTCAATGCTAGCGTTATAGAATTAGATGATGCTTGGGAAACATGCCACGGAAATCAGACATTTGACCTGAAAAAATTTCCAGATCCGAAAGCAATGGTATGAACATTTCTTATTAAATAAATAGCAAATATTATTATATACTTTTAGGCATTTATTGGTGAGGTAATGATGGCCAAGTGTCTTGGACGGAGAGAGACAGTGCCTGATTTGGTTACATTCACTATATGATCCTCGGCGAAGTGAGCCGAAACACCAGCACAGCCATCAATCAATCTGGAAAACCATGGCCAATCAAACTAACACAACTTCCCGTTGAGTTATATTTGCAATCAATAAAAGCAAAATGTGGGGGAAAACTTTTAAGCTTACAGGAGTTGACATAGAAGAATGTTTTCCGACTAATATAGATTTGTTGCCTGATTGTGTAACTAACCAGTAAGAATATGGAACTGCATTTAATAATAATGATTAACAATAATGGATAATAGTAATAATAAATAATAAATAATAGATAGCTAATGGTGAGCAAACAACAAATAGATAAACAGTGCAGACCTTAGACATTCTGCACCCCCCTGGCAATGACGTAATCTCATCCCTCCCCTAAAAAAATGAAATTTATTCCTTAAGATGTTTCATATTATGTAATATTTAAATTTTATAGCATTCGGTGTTTTTTTAATACAGTTGCTTTATTGATAGGCTAAAATTAATTATTTTCATATGTTTTTTATTTTTATTTTATTTCTAACTAGTGGGAGCTGTTGGGATGAAGCTCTCCTGTAATGGATTCTTTTTACTTTTATTTACCCACATATGAAATATATAGTTAGGGAAAATATTGCAATCGTAAAAATTTTCGACTCTCAGTTTTCAACGGAAATATACATTTTCCCCGCAAAATGGTCTGTGTGTGTGTGTGTGTGTGTGTGTGTGTGTTAACAGACTAGCTCAAAAACGAAAAATCGTACGCAGGTGAAATTGCATATTATTGGGGTTGATATGCTAGGGATGTTACAGCAACTTTTTCGTCAAAATCGGCCAACCAAAAGCGGCACTTTCTATAATGGACTAAACACATTTTTGCGATTTTCTCGAAAATGGCTCTAACGATATTGATTAAACTCATCATATCAGTGTAAAATTAAGCAGTTTTAAATAAAAATTTAGTTTTTATTCTGACTGATGTTTTCTAACAGGGCTTAAATGGCTAATTTTCAATATTAGCTTCCCCTAAAGTACCTTTCATTTTTTTGAAAGAATTGATCGTTTCATATTAATCTCTAATATAAACGATAGTTAAATATAAAATATGAGAGAATTTGATAATTAACTAAAGGAGAGATCTAGGGCAGCGTGTCTTTCCCTGGTGGACGGCCACCCGACTCGGGTGGTCACCCATCCAAGTGCATATAAGGGTACTTATAAAAATAAAATACCCGCAATGAAATATAAATCAATATAGCGTTTGTAATTTTTACATTCACTTCCCCTTTGTCTAAAAATAATTATTTCTGCTAAGAGAGTGGTAAGTGAAAATTGTGTATTGCGATCAGCGCCAGATTTGTTTTTTCATTGGTTCATATTTGTTACTACAAGTTATCTACGCTAAATCCCTAAATAATAACAATACGTTATATATATTTTTAAAATTATAATACATATACAGCTCCTAAATATAACCATGTCTTATAAAAAAAAATCTCTAAAGTAAATAGGACTTAAAGAATCACTTATACACCATTTCATATAGATAGTTAATTCCATTTTCTTCCCAAGTAATTGTTGGATCCCTCTCAATACTTTAATCTAAAAATTAATTTTGCTTGAAATTAGCCACATAAGCAAGTGCCCTCTTGTTTCTGCCCTGGGCCTAATGTAGTACTGGGAAAGATTGTAAATGAAAGGTTGAGTGGATAAAAGTAATAAATGACATTTTTGAATAAATAATTTACTGTTAAAATAATGGCTTGAAATGATTTATTTTTAATATTTCATTCTTTTATTTACACAAATTCAATAATCACCTTACAAATGAGTTGATAAAAGTGCCAAGTGACCTAAAACTATTGCCTAATAGTGGATTAAGTTGATTTGAAATTTCTTTTCTCTGCATTCACATAATATTATCACCTTTATCAATTTGGCCCTTCAAATATTAAGTGATCACAAGCACTGTTTATTTACAGAATAATAGTTTTTACTATTTGATTTGACATGTAACTTTTATTGTAATTACTAACAATACATTTTAAAATAATTTATAGATGATAAGATAGGTATTTCTTAGGAAATACATCTTTTATTATATAAACAAGTTTTAGTGACTTTCATATTTTATTTTATTTTAGTATTAGGATAGCAGGACATAACAGGAGCTCGGTGAATATTTTACAAATTATACAGCTGTTCTTTAATTATACTTGTGTTGAGCTCTTGTTATCTCCTACTCTGCTGTTAATACAAAATAAAGATTTTAGACTAAACATTTGTGTGGGAAATGTTTTTTTGTTTTTTTATATGTTAATTCAAATTTGTTTTGTGTTGATAAAAAAATAATACAATCTGAACTACGGAATACATGTAAATTAAAGTTATACAATTTGAGCAGCTTTAGTACAATTAAATGAATAGTTATATAATTTGTATAATGGGGATTGGTCTGCTGTTAGATGGACAGAGGTACCTTCCTAGTTATTTATTAAAATTATTTTTAGTGATATTGATACATTTTTTAAAGGTTGATGAGATCCATTCTAAAGGACATCTCATTACCTTGTGGGTTCATCCTTTCTTAGGACCTGGATGCCCTTCAAATTTACTTGATATCTACAGCCCTTATGTGATGAAATACCCCAATGGTTCTGTGGGAATAACTACTTGGTGGAATGGTAAGTGTCCTTCCGTTATAATTTTCTCAAACAATGAGCCTTTTAACAACAAGTATATCAAATTATTTTATTATTCACTTAACATAATTGTAGCTTCTGCAAGTTACAACCTATTGAAATCCCTGGGAAAATATTCAATGAATCAAGAGAAAATTTTTAACGTGTTAGTACTGGAATGTGTAAAATACTAGAGAAAAATATAATACTAGTTCTAAAATATGTTTTTTTTTGTTTTTTTACGTTTTAAGATATGAGTATTTTTTGTAAACAATGTAAACAAATTAATTTATAAATTGTGATCTACTCACTTAACTCAGTAAAAAAAAATTTATTGTTTATTAAAAAATTATCATGTTTACATAAGTATGACATTCCAAATAAGTTGAATATGATTATTCATAATTTTTATTTTATAATGCAGTCTATTCTTATTTTCACCGAAGCAGATAGGTTGCGAACACTTCAAGGTTTTTAGATAATTATTATCTAATTTAACCACATTAGTGATTAAATTAGATAGAAAGGTAGGGACAGGGCAACCAGGATATGTAGAATCACTATTTAAACTGGACAGGATTCATGTAAATGTTCAAATATCGATGAGTAACAACAACATTGAGCAATAGCTTATTACTTTTCAAGATGATTTTCCAGCTACTAAGCAAGTGCTTCACTTATCTGCGATTCAGAAAAACTTTGTTTATTTTTTAAATATTTGTAATTAATTCTGAAAATGATTCGTTATTAGTAGTTTTATTTTTTCTTACTTACATTGTTTCTATGAAGACTATTTTTAAAATGGAGAGCCAACTTAAATTAGGGATTGAGGATTAAAGAAATTTTGTATATTAGTAAATCTATAAATTTTGTTGCTTGTTTTGTTTTTTATCAAAAATAAATTGATTGCTGATATGAAAATAATTAATTTTTGGTAAATCTTATGGACTATTTATAGGAGAAGGAGCTGCTCTCTTTGATTTCCTCAATCCTGAGACTACAAAATGGTATGTTGAAAGGTTGCACAGGATTTTGGACAACTATGGTTTTGATGGCTTCAAATTTGATGCTGGTGAAGCAGCTTATATACCAGGAATGAGTATAAAAGAGCAATCAGTTACATCACATCGGCCGAACCAATATACTTCCAAATATATCAAGATGGCTTCACAGTTTGGTAATTGTTAAACTTTAGATCTCATACCTTTGTGTTAAATAACTACCTACAATTCAGACAATCTGTTAAAAATTATTCATAAATACAAATATAATTTCATTATATCTATAACACATAGTAAACACACACATATATTTTTTTTTTGTTCAGTTCATACTTTTTACATTAAATTAAAATTAAATAAACTTCACAAATACTTATTTTTACAAAAAAAATAGGCAATAAATTATAGATAAGTAATGCTAATATACAGGTTCTCCTACTCAATTACTTTACACTTTATATCTACCATACATGTGGTGGTGGGTGATTCCCAGGGAGTCGAGAACTATATTCTCAGCCAGCCTTGCTAAGCCAGCATTTAGTCATTAATTTTTACAACAAAATGTATACATATGTATTTTTTTCTTGCTAATTTTTTGCATCACCTGCAGCCTTTACATTAAATGAGCTGAAATTCAAGGCAGAATGGTACCATAAAAGTTTGGGTAAATTTTATCAACATTCCTATAGGTCTAAGTTCTGCACACATTTCTAGTCTCTCCAGATTTTGACGATCTTAACTTTCTTCACCCATCCCTCTCTATTTCTGCCATTTTAATAATTTAAATGAGGAAATAAATCAAAAATAAAGCTTGAGAAAGAAATTGAACTCTTCAATTGATTTTAAAATTCTATTCAATTATTTCATTTAACAATTAAATCACAAAAAGGAAATATGACACCAGTGACAGAACTTTGCTCCTCTCACTTCTTTTTCTTTTCTTTTTATTATGTTTACAATAGTTAGCGACCTCTATTAATATTTATTTTTCTAAGACTTATTTTACTGATATATTTATTCACATTGTTGTTCCTCAGGTACTTTAACAGAAGTAAGAGTTGGAGCAGAAGCTTTCCAATATAAGCTCATGCAGAGACTTCAAGACAGAGATTCCATTTGGACTTCAGAAAACTTGGGACTGCGTTCAGTTATTACATCAGTTCTTCAGCTTTCCATATTAGGCTATGGAGCTATCCTACCCGACATGGTTGGAGGAAATTGTTACAGCGGCCGACCTTCCAAAGAGCTCTTCATCAGATGGGTACAAGTCAACACTTTCCTTCCTCTTATTCAGTTTTCTCTCAGTCCATGGTCTTTCGATGATGAGGTAATAATCCTGGTTTTGAAATATTTTACAATAAATATATAATTATTTTAAATATTTCATCATTTTGCATTTGGAAGTACGACTTTTTCCCTGGAAAGGTGAGCCAAGCTTATTAAAACTGACTAAAAGCTATGGGAGCTCACAAAATAATTGTTTTAGGAGAAATTAGTCCTCAATAGGGGATCGACACGCTGGGTTTATTTGACCAATATTTAGTTTAAAAATCAAAGTTAAAACTGTACTGTTGACATCAAATCCAAACGTGTGGAATGAATTGAATTGTAAATGTGTGATATAACCTAATACAAGTTTTAAAAAAATTAAGTAGTTTTAATTTGTTAATTACAAAGATCCAATCAAAAAGTGCTTGGAAAAATATAGTTTACTATCGATGACATTAAGATCATGGTTGGCGGATAATGGATTAAAAAAAACAAATAATAATAATTAAATTACTTAGTATTCTAAGAAGAGGAAAAAGAAAGCAAATTTTATTCTAGGTCATTTAGTCCCCTGAGAAGAACTACAATGAAAAATGTATGATAAATGTCTAGTATTATAAGAAAATAAAAATAATTAGTTAACATAACATAATATTCCAACCTTAAAATTAAAATAAATCAAGTACAATGAAACATAGTAATTTGCACATAAATATATATGAGTGTGTTCACATATTTGTTCTGATTAACAATATTGATAATATATAAGTAATATTAATATAACAGTCAAATGAAGGTGACAGCTCTTAAATACAAAATTTTGTTCTTACATGTATTCGGAAGATTAATTGCTTAGGAGGTGAAAGAATAATTGTGGTTTAAATGAGGCTAAGGAAGAGGATTTGCTTATTGAGGCAGGCAATGAATTCCAGAAAAAGGTAGCACACATGACAAAGGATTTTTTAAAGGAAATGGTTCTATGAGAGGGAACAAACAGGTTTACGGACTGGGATCTAGTGTTAAACGAATGAACAGAGAGACTAGGAATAAACAAATCAAGAAGGTAAGATGGCTTTTTGGTTGCAAAGGTTCGGAAAAGGAATACACCTAGGAAATCTGATGAGCCACTCGGAGAACTGGATGGAGCCACTTCAACTCGGCATACCAGCTAGAGATGTGAGAGTGCCTGGGGACTCCAAAGATGAATCGAATAAAACAATTCATTAATCTCTTCAATCTGATCTCCAGCCCACCAGACAGTCCACCATATACAATGCAGCCATAATCTAACTGAGGAAACTAGGTGTTGGCGGGTTTTTAGGGGCATAGAAACATGAAATCTCAGGAACTGTTTTAGGGTAGCAATGGATTTTCGGATAATTTGGCAAACATGATTATTCCATGAGAGGTATTGATTGAAAATTATTCCTAGATTTCTAACAGAAGTATGGAAACAAATAGGTAGTCCATTGAGGTAGAGAAGGGGTTAGTATGGGATGGAATTAATAAGATGATTGGAACCAATGAGAATGGCTTTGGTCTTCTCAAGGTTCAATTTAAATAATTACTCGCTGTCCAATTAATGATACTGTTTATATCTTCTTGTAGTCTTCGGATCGCCTAAAGCTTCTCAGTAGGATAAAAGGAAAGGTAGATTTGGAGATCGTCAGCATAAGAGGTATTGTGAATGATGGATGGACTCAGGAAGGTCATTGACATATATGGAGAAAAGAGTTGGAGAGAGCAAAGATCCCTGAGGAACACCATAAGTTAGTGACAGGGGGAAGGAAGAGGTTTTATTGGGAATAATGACTGTTTGGGATCTGAGATACAAGAAGGAACGGAAACACTTTAGGACACTATTTGATATGAAAAGGTTTTGGAATTTGGAAAGAAGGATTTTATGATTAACGGAATCAAAGTCTTTTGAAAAGTCAAAGAGGATTAGGATGGAGATTTTTTGTTTTTCTATGGAGAAATGAAAGTCTTGGATGATTTTCAACAAAGCAGATTGGGTAGAGAACTGGGATCGGAAACCAGACTGAAGGGGATTGAGGAGAGCATTTTGCTCAAAGAAGATGTTAAGCTGTGAATGGACTAGTCTTTCGAGAGGTTTTGAAAGGTTGGAGAGAATGGAGATAGGGCTGAAATGAGAAACTTTGGAGGGAACCAGAATTTTGCTCAATGGGTGGACTATAACTTTTTTCCAAGCTAATGGAAAACTGGAATTTTGTAGGGAAACATTGTAAATATGGAATATGACAGGAAATATGACGGGGAGACATAGTTTGACTAATTTCACTGGGATTAGATCAGGACAGTAGCCATTTGTTCTGGATTTGAGGACAGAAGAAAGCAGGTCTTCTAGTGAGATATTTGTAAAATAAAAATTTGTAGGGTCAAAGGAAGTTTTAGGAAGGCAGCGTGAGGAGAAGAAAGATTTTGAGACAGGAATGGCAAAGTAGGAATTCATTTAATCGGGAGAAACAGGATAGGAGGTACAGGTTTTTGATTTTACTATGGGGAGATATTTAAGAATCTTCCATCTGGATTTATGATCTGGTGCTTGTGATAAAGAGATATGAAAGAATTGTGCCTAAGCAAATCGCAAAGAAGATTGGGTTAGGTTTCGAAGTTAGGTAACGTGTGTGTTTGAATCACCTTTTAGCTGCGTCGTCAGCCTTTTGATTTCCGCATTAATCCAGGGAGCAGCAGGACGTCTGAATTTTACTGAGTCTTTTGTTTCTAGTTACATCCATAAAAACTCTATAATTGATTCTATTTATCTACAGAACTAAGGAAACTGTGAAAGTCGCTTCAAATAAATTTTGTTTTATTCATGTGTCATTAGAATAGTGAGGCTTATTTGAAAGAATGACACCAATAACAAAACTTAAAAATCACTTTTATGATTGTTTCAAGTACTACCTATTTCTCAACAGGTCTGTTTCATGTTCTTTGTACAATAGTTCAAATTAACTTATATTTCTTTTTCTAAATTTTCAAAAAAGAAAATTTTTATGACCCCTGGGAATCCGTTTTTCCCTCATCGATGAACTTATTAGCTATAAATACATATAAAAATTACATTATCTGCATTAACTTTTGGCATTTTAAAGTGGGTTGCAGGGTTCTTCTCGATGGTAAATATTTTAATGAATAAAATATTTAAATTAAGAGGGATCTAAACAAATATTTTTGTTTTTCACTATGAATTTGTTTCAAATCAATAAATGCTTGTATTACACTGTTAGCTTAAATAAAATAACAATGAATAATTCTTAATGTTTTTCTTTAAATTGGCTAATAATTTTTTGTAACTCTTCTATTATCAATTTTTATTTCAGACGGTACAAATTACAAGAAAGTTTACTGCTTTACATAATGCTTATTCAGAAAGAATCTTGAAGGAGTTCAAAGACCCTCACCATCCAGTTATTAATCCCCTTTGGTGGATTGCTCCTGAAGATAAAATAGCTCTTGTCTCTGACTCAGGTGAATAATTTATTTATACTTTTCATGTTTTGAAAATTTTTAAAGGAAGATTTCCATAAAAAAAAAAAAAAAATGTATTCAGTTATGTATGAAATGTATAAGTGCCAGACTGACATGGCTAACACAGAAATTCTGGAGTTTATATGGAGAGAAGAACTATATAAAAGTGGCATAGGATTTCCAAAATTAAGTTGGATGGCAAATAATGCGAAAAAATTCATAGTGGTTTGGTAATTATGGTCCCTCTTCAAGGCTTTTAAAATACCTAGGGATGATATGAAAAAAAAAAAAAAATAGATATAATGTAAATACATATAAGATTGATATTATCAAAGATTTTAATAACCAAACCATGATTTTTGTAAATTGTTGATACCATGCTAGTCAAAACCATATTCTTTGGAAGAAATCTACATTATTTATTCCAGGCTTTCACATTTTTAATTAAGTCAAACTTTTCATTCATTTTCAATCATTTTTATTTAGATACCATAATCATATAAATTTCTTTTCTTTTTCCAAAGGTCAGAATGCTAAAGGTTTGTAAATAAATAAATTACATATAGAAATAATTTATCTAATTAAAACGTTAATTTATACAACAAAAGAAAACTTCATAGTAAAAAAGTAAAATAAGTTTTTTAGTGAAGAATATTTACATAAAAAAAAAGAAAAGAAAAAAGAGGGCGTATTGATTTATTTGTTTGTGTTATGTCTGTAAATAATAGTTAATTTTGTTTTCATGTATATTTAACCCAATTGCTCATGAAAACTGAATATTATACAATTTACCAAATAACTTAAAAAATACTACAATATTTTATTTCATCAGTACTGCTTTTTTATTTAAACATATCTAAAACCACTAATACTATCAATTTAAAGTTGTACTACACATTTATTATTATAATAGATATTACTGTGAGGACCGGAATACTTTTTTTTTTTCTTATGGATGTCAAGAACTAGATTCTTTCTTGAGACCATGGAATTGGTCCAATTATCGTATAGTAATATATCAAATAGTTTGTATACTACCTGGGTACAAAAATGGGAATTCCATAGTATTATGAGTTTATTGCTTCATTGTGTAACTATTTTAATATTTAGTTTATAATATTTTTTCCTCTAGAGTTCCTGTTGGGAGAGGATTTGTTGGTAGCTCCTGTACTTGAACAAGGTGCAACATCCAGGGATATTTATCTACCTCGTGGCGAATGGAGGGACGAAAACACTGGTAAAGTATATACTGGTCCTACTACACTTAAAAAGTACCCTGCACCTTTGGAGGTCTTACCATACTTTGAAAGGATCAAATCTTAGTGAATTTTACAAAAAGGTAACTAAACTGTTATAATAATACTGATAATTTTATAGATCTTATTGCAGTTCAATATGAATAAGAAGAAAATTAATTGATATATTTTAATGTATAAATTCGATAAAAGACTTCTACAAAAATAAATACCGTATACGTTTTAGAATAAATATGTATTGATCATGCATGAATTATTGTTTATTCTAAATATATATTTGTGTATAATTAGATATCATATATATTTTTTTATTCTACTCAAGCCAGAAATTTTGCACAAGTCAATCCTGTTATGGAATAATTTGTATATTTAATTTTTTTGATGAGGAAATGGTAGAAGGAATCATGGTCTGTGGATGTATTTGGACAAGAAAGAAGAACATAGTTTTCATTGAGGAACGGTCGCAGGAGCAATAAGGAGAGTCCAAGATGTTTATTTTAAAGAGATGGGATGGTAGCCTAGGTTGAGGAGAAGACGTGATATGGAAGTTAGGAATTTTATGAAAGCTTTATAGGGTTGAAACCAAATGAACCTTTCACGCTGATAGAGTACTCTTTTTGCCATTTCTGTTACCAGTATCTATTTAAATGGTCCTTAGTATCTCTCACAGATACATACAGTCGACAATTATCGGTAAAAGCCGCTTCTCTAGCAAGCTTGTCAACTTTGTTGTTAAATTCGTTACCAAATAATATATGCATTTATGCTTCTATTATCTAACTGGCATAGTAAATTAAATATTTCTGATATAATAGCATGAGAGGAGCTGAGAACATTCTTGATAGAGGTACACTTTAGCTATCAGAGAAAATAATCACACGAGAAGGTTCTGCAGATAGGGCATACTTTAGAGCCTTGAGTACTGCTATAGCCTCGGCTGTAAATATAAAAGCTACCCCCCCTCCCCCCGGTAGCTTAAATGACTCTGATGTATCTTCTAATGGTTTATACAAAGCTGAACTAACTTCAAATCCTTGCTTGGAACCATCAGTGTATAATGTTAACGCTTATTCACAATACCCACTGAAGGACCCTTCTTCTATATAGGAAGGGAAAACTGACGAATTTAATACTTTATTAGGATCTGGAATAGCAAAATTAGTTTGACTGAGTGGAGGAAAAACATTGGTAAGGAATCTGGAATGGGAAGGAGATAAAGGAATAGAAAGGTTTAAAAGAGGAAGTCTTGTATAATTGCAGAATAATAGAAATGGTTTCTTTTTTTACCAAAATCTATGGGAATTTACCAGTTCAGCTAGTAGCTTGATGTGCCTGACTGTTGGGTGATCTATTATAGTAATTCTCGATAAAAAAAATCTTCCTGAAATTAGTTCCCTACGAAATTTCAACTAGGCTTCTCTAGCTTCCATCTGAAGGGCATTTGTTGGGATAGACTGCATTGCTCCTATACAAACCCTAAGTGATTTATATTGTATCTTATCTAGTTTATCTAAATAACATTTAATCACCATATAATTGAGAACCATAATCCAATCTTGATAGGATTAATGCCTTATAAAAGAGAAGGGATATACTTGGATGGGACCCATAGCGAACTTTTGAGACACATCTTATTATATTCAACTCTTTTTCGTATGGATCGCTTACAAGATTAATATGGTGACACCACAACAGTTTCCGGTCCAGTAGGACACCCAGTAATTTGAATTTTTCTGTGATACTAAAAGCAAATGGACCCAATTGTATGTTACCCGTTATATAGATTAAGTTACAACTTAAAACAGTTTGATAATAGTAATCCATATAGTTACAAGATATCACTTCATATTCATTGATATATTAAATTTATATGTCTTTACCTCATTTATTTATTCTAACATAGAGAAATGATATGTTTCAGATTTAAAAGAAGTATTGATTGATGAAGAGAATAAAACTATTTTATTGCATTGAATTAAATTGATCATTTATGTGAAGTAAAGAATCTAATTTAAAAATAAAAGTTTTAAAAAATAAGTGAAAATATACCATAAGTGTTTTCTTTGCCTTTAATTTAAGTTTTGTGATTTGAAGATTAGATTGTAACACCAACAAATAAAAGTAGCTGTTGTAAATAAATGATATGTGATCGATATTACCGGTGATGTTATGTTCAAAAGTTATTATGGTAATTATTATATTACTAACCTTAGATCAAAATATCATATTCATGTTATTAAGTAAATCAATGACCAATTGATGGATACCATTGATACTTCATCAAGACAAAGAAAGAACAAAGTTATGAAAGTAAGAGACATTGATTTGTGACTAACTCAAAACATTTACATTTTATGATAAATGATTTATGATAATTTGAAAGATAATAATATTCCAAAAAATAAAAAAAAATTGATATTTCATCTCCAAAACTGGAAACTACCATATAAAAAATGGTGGGCATGGGAGAAAAGAGTTGAGACCTCAGAAAGCATCAAATATTCCAATGAGCAACCTAATTTTGTTAGTTATTCTGCTTTTTTAGAAAAAATAAATAAATTGTTATCTTTATTCAAAGCCACTGGCATTCACCATGTTATATTCATGTCTCTGGATAGTAGAAAAGTTGTTAGTAATTTGATATAGATGAGTGAGAAATTGGCTGGCTAGGGTCAGTAACTACAAATCATAAAGACGACGGAAGAAAACAAAATTTATACTTTTTTTTAAATAACATTGGCTAGTTTCATTTATGGTAATACCAGAACTAAGTTGTTCAAACTAAAATAATCACTAACATACAAAGAGAAATTTGTTTTTAATACAATCAATCTTTAAATGTGGATTTATTATCTATGCACTTATATTTAGGGAATTCAAGATTGTAGATATTGTATTTTAATTTATTTTAAAATACACATGTTAAATCAACATTATAGTTTTTTTCTTTTTTACACTTCATTTTAACTAATTTACCGGTTTAACTGGTGATGTATCTTTTCTGACTAACAGAAGACAGAAAAGTGGTGTTTTATTGTGCCATCAAAAGTTTTTACCATTGAGATAAATTGTAAGATATCTATCAAGAAAAAAATTCTTCCCAGTTTTATAAAATAAATAAATGCAATGTCTTGATTTTGTGAGGAGATTGAGAATTTAAAGTTTATTTAAATCTAATTACCAAAAAATCTATACATTTCCTTTTGTTTTTAAAGCTAAAATTAACAAATAAATAATTTTTTTTTATCAACTAATTATTGCTAAAGGTTAAATTATAGAACTATTAATACAGTACAAATTAAATGTTTACTAATTTATATCTTATATGATAAAAAATTAGATAAAGTTCCTGAGTTGTAAACCAAAATAAATAAGTAATTTATTTTATTTCATATTTTTTTTAACATATAATAATTTCTAAAGGAAAAATATTAAATTTTAAATATAATTTTATTATATTCTAATTTATACATCAATTAGCAAAAATATTATGTAGTTTTTGGTTGTCAATCTGAATACATGAAACCAAACTATTTTTTTACTTTTTAAATTGTTAATTATTATTTAAAGTCCTCAATGAATAATATAACAATAAGGCTTGCCTTGACATAACTCCTATAGCTCGCAGTGGAACAAAGGACCTGGATGAACAACCTCCATCCATTCCTGTCATCTGTCAGTTATTAATAATCAAATGTTGTCCATCATTAAATTATTCTGTAAAATTGTTAATTATATCAAACATCAGAAAAATTTCTTAAAATCAAGTATATAATCCAATCTTTGCTAAAATTTTCCAAAAAACACCCAGTAGCCAAAAAAAAAATGGTATATGATAACAAGTGTGAGGTTCTAAATCACAAATTAAAATAAAATAAAAACTATTGCTTTAAAATCATTAATACATGTATTAATTATTTATTAATAATTGATAATTATGTTGACTATTGTGCAGCTCAATATTATTTTAAAATAATTATATTATATCTTGACCTTTTTGAAGAATATTTAAAATCTTTTTAGAAGATGAGTCAAATTTTTAAAACAATTGTTTTATAGTTGTTTTGATTTTTCCGAGTTATTGCAGATTTGGTCATTGGAGAGAAGTGCCCTCCAAAAAAAGAGAAAATTTTAAGTCTTGGAATGATTTTAGGTAACTCCGCCAATAGGCATAGTGATGCTACCTCTAGTGTTGCTAGGTGAACCAAGTCCCAAGCCTGGATAAAGGAGGAAGGATGGGCAACCTCATCTCTATAAAAAAAGAATAGTCCTGAAACTGCCAGAGTGGAGTTTTCTATACATGAATAGTGAAGCTTAAAAACATAAACATAGTTCCCAGAGGAATCTATTCGGATATGGGTGGTCACCACCTACACCAGATATTGAAAGAAACTCAAGAAGAGAGAGGAAAATGAGAAACAGTGTAGCAATAGCAATAGTGTAACCATATAGCAATAGTCGAAATGAGGAAAACAAGAGAGGTAACTAAGAGTTGACGGGACTTATATGGAAGGAGATAACGTAGACGATTGAACTGTTTTAGGGTGGAGATAGTGCGACGGGAAATTCGGGAGATGTGCGATTTCCAGGAGAGGGTTTGATCAAAAGTAACACCTAGGTTTTTGACGGTAGTGTGGACCTATAAGATAGGTGAGTTGTTCAGGAGAAGATTGAAGGATGCCGGGAAGGATTTGAGGAGTGCGAGGGATCGATTCAAGACGGCTTTAGTTTTCTCAGCGTTCAGAATGAGCCTGTTGAGGTTTGCCCATTCACACATTCTATTAATATCTTCTTGGATTTTTAGAACGGCATCTAAGGAATAGGTCGGATTGAAGGAAAGGTAAATCTGAACTTCTTCGGCATACAGGTGGTATTGACAGAGCAGGATGGAGGATGAGAGGTAATTTATATAAATGGAAAAAAGAGATGTGGAATGAGAATTAGGACCAGAAATGTCCATAGCATATTGTAGCCAGGTGCGAGTAGAGATCTGGAGACAGCGCTAGAACAATATAAAATAGATGTAGTGGCTCTACAACAGGAGAGGCAAGGAAGGAGAGATTAGAAAAAAAAAAAAGGCTACAGAGAAGATATTGATATCTTATCCTTTGACAAATACCAATAAATAGTGATGCCAAGAGAAATCTGAGAAGCACCAGCTTCATGATTAGAAAAAGCTACACATTCGAAGTTGAAGTCCCCAACTTTTACTCTTCCTCCTATACATTCTCCTCTTTTAGGATTGCAGAGAATATACTTTGTTTTGGACTCGTTCACCGGCAGTCCAAATTTAAGGGCTGATTTAGGAAGGCGTCCTTCATACTCTGAAAACTACGTCCCAGACATCCAAATCGTCGACATATGCAAGAATTTGGCAAGATTTGTTGAAAATTGTCTCTCCTATTTGGATTCCCAACTCTCTTGTGACAAATTCCAATGCAACATTAAACAGCAAACATGCTAAACAATCACCTTGTCTAAGTCAATTGTGGCTATGGAAAAACTCCCCGTTGGAAAAAGATGTATCCCCGGGCACGCTCACCGAACACTGAGTAACCTTCATGGTCATTCTGACAAGGCGGACTTGCTTCGGAGGGATGTCAAGGAAGATCATTCCATCATAAAGCTCCTCTTGAATCATGCTGTCATAGGCAGCTCGGAAATCCACAAAGAGTTGGTAGATCTGGATATTATACTCAGCCCCTATCTCCATTATTGTTCTCACGTAGAAGTTTGGTCCGTCTTAGCTTTGCCTTTCATAAAGCCTGCTTGATATTGTCCTATTCTCCTCTCAACGAAAGGTAATAAACGTTGGAAAATATCTTATGAGCAGAGGGAAAGTGGGATATTCCAATGTAGTTCTCACAGTTAAGAGGTTCTCACTTCTTATAAATGGGACATACAAAAGTTTTGTATCATTCTTCAGGAATGCACTCCTCTATCCAAATGTCCTTGGATCTTGGTCAGGCTCTCCATATACTTAGAGATAGGTTCTCTTCCGTGTTTCCAAAGTTCCGTGTTCCATTATTATTCTTCAACGGATCTATGTATCTAATACCCTCTTCATCTGGTGGTTCGAACTCTTCACCAGTGATGTTGGTCCAGTGGTGGATCCAGAAACCTCAGGAGGGGGGTGCACCTCTGTACCAGGTGGTTCCCCATCACTACCCATCTCTCTCCCACTCCTTAGCTAAGTTTAACCGCTCAAAAGTCCTTTAAATGGTTTTAACAAAAGCAAATTCTATTTTCATTTAAAGTAAATCATCAATTCCTATTAAAAAAAAAAGTGACTTACTTAAAAAATCACAAAACTTTAATTTCCTAGGTTCCTGCTGAAAATCTAATCATTGTTTATATAAAATTTTTTGTATCTTGAGTTCTACTATCGCTCCTTTAAATATTTCCCATATATTTATGGGAGGTTACAATGCGTCCAATCTATTGGAACTGAATAAAACTGCGTCCGGGAGAAAACTTTTGCTCTTACATTCTATTCTTTGTTTTACAAAATCTAGCCGTTGCTGAGCATGGAGTGGGTGAAAAAAGAAAAGTGGGCAGACCGAAATTGAGAAGAAATAATAATAATAAGGCTTAGCGAACCCGAAGGTTCGATGCCGACACCACCAATCGCTTGTTACACACCTCCCTCCACCGTTCGCCGTCCAAACCCAGTCCCTTCAGATCGGCTTTAATGCAATCTTCCCACCTTCGCTTCGGTCTACCCCTCGGACGCTTACCATTCGGCACAGCAAATATTAACCTTTTAGGAATTCTCTCGTTACTAAGCCCAACAACTTTACAAGCCCATTTGATTCGCCGCGATGAAATTACCTCAATTATATTACCCGGATACAGCTCACGCAATTCGGCGTTGTGTAACCGTCTGAACTCTCCGGTTAACTCATCCTTCTTCGGTCCGAATATTCTACGCAATACTTTATTTTCAAAAACCTTAAGACGCTGCTCATCCCTTAATGTAAGCGGCCAAGTTTCGCATCCATAAAGAACTATAGGCAAGATAATTGTTTTATAGATTCTAATCTTTAAGTTTCGGGACAAGAGGCGCGAACTAAGTAGTTTTGTCACAGAAAAATAACAAGCATTCCCCGCCTTCAGTCTAACCTTAATCTCTTCTTCAATTTCGTTTTTTCTAGTTATCGTAGAACCTAGATACCTAAATTTATTTACCTGTTCAAACATATTACCATCTATATCGATATCACCAGTAGTATCGCCATTTTTGTAGCTAACCATATATTTTGTTTTATCCACGTTTATTTCGAGTCCTAGTTCTTTACCGGCTTTCATTAACGTTGTCGTATTTAGTTTTATAGTTTCAACGTCTTCGCTTAACAGTACCAGATCATCAGCATAGCCCAGCACGGATGTTGTCCCGCCCAGATCCAACCCTTTCTCGGTTCGCATTACCTCCCTAATGGCATGTTCTAATGCCAAATTGAACAGGACAGGCGAAAGAGAATCCCCCTGTTTTAAGCCCGAACGAACCTCAAATTTTTCGGACAAATTATTACCGATTCTAACTTTATTGAGTGTCTCCGTCAAGCACATCCTGACTAGATTTACTAGTTTTTTTGGAATCCCCTGCTCGATTAGAATATTATACAGTTTCTGGCGGTCAATAGAATCGTAAGCCTTTTTAAAATCTATATACAGCTGGTGAACAATACCGTTATACTCCAATTTTTTCTCTAATATTTGCCGTAAAGAAAATATTTGATCAATTGTCGAACGATTCCGTCTAAATCCGCATTGGTAGTCTCCGATAATTTCCTCGGCGTATTCCGTGATTCGACTGGTTAAGATTGAAGTGAATATTTTATAACATACCGGAAGGAGTGAAATTCCTCGATAGTTATTACAATCCGTCCTCGGACCCTTTTTGTGAATCGGAATAAGAATAGATTCTTTCC